ACACGACTACAATAGATACTGCCTTATTAGTATTCTTTATATAAAGAATACTAATTACGAGTGTGTTTTATCAGGTTTAAAACCACTGCACGTGACATATTATGGTTGACATGATTCGCCAATAAGCTTATGAATTATTAATGAGTGTTTGGAAATAATTTTGTATTAAAGTGTTTAATTTTTGTGCTGTATGTGGTTGTTGTACCCGAACAGATATTGTTAGGGAGCATCTGGAGGACACTCTAAGGATTTGTGACGTCAGTGCAATGGGTCCATAGACTCCTGAGTTTCAGGAGTAACACCCCTGCTATAACATATTCTTTAAATCCACGAAATCTGGCAATCATTTAAGGACATAATTAGACCCTTGTTTTCCTAGTTATTAAATCAACTTGAGAGTGGTTGACATCTGATCATGTAATTTAGAGGCACGAAAGCCGTTTTTTCACTAAGGTGAATTTTTCCTTTGGCTTGTGTAAGCGATGACGACATATATTCAGTTTTGCTACGTGTTTAAGCTCAACTTATTGGCTGCCATCCAATCTGAAATATTGACAATACTGTATTTGCTAGTTCAGCATTTAACGTTTCAGTAATTGTTTTAATTTATTTAAGTATCATCTGCAAAAATATCATAATCCGCGTTTTTTAAACTGTTTGGAAGATCGTTGACGTTAATATAAATATAAATAAGAAAAAGCAATGGGCCAAGAAGTGGGCACTGCGGAATATGTCAGTAATTGTGGTTTGTGCAGGTTCAAACACGTCCAAGTTTCCGACCGTAAATATTTAAGCAGCTCATTTTTCGAATTTGTCAGCCACCTGAGGATTCCTCTTGGCAACCTTTTGAGGTGAAACGACTATTTCTGCTTTATCTATATGATATCGAGTATTCAAACCCTCCAAATTAGTGAGCAAAGTGCCTATCCAAAAGTTTTCACACTTTCTTAAGTCCTCATTGTTGTTATCAATTAACATAAATTTCAAATTGAATTGCTCACTACAGTGCACATCTATGAAGTGGTTAACTACACCACATGTCACTTACTACTATCACGTTCGTTTGGTAATGATAAGTTATTGTACATCTTATGTAGGTGCCATTTTCATTTATTCAGTATCCTTTATGGGAATTTTTAAAAGTAAGTTATCTTTTTTTGTTTGTTTTTGATTGTCACTTCTTGCATGAAGGTCCAAAGTCTTTACGGACTTTACGTTGTCCACTGAGTCACAGATTAAGTATGAACAGATGTGTAACTTCAGTAAAAAGGTTGTCCCATCTTCCTAGCAAGTGTTGCTCGCATGATAATTCGTCATTTGGTGATACAGTCGAACCCCTATTAAGCGGACACCTTCGGGACCTCGCCTAAGTGTCCGCCTAAAAGGGGTGTCCGCTTAAAAGGGGTATGTAGAAAAACACAGCAGGAGGCAAAGGTGTGTAATTAGGTGTGTAATTTGAGTATCATCATGGCTGGCGGCTCACAGTCCTCCGTCCTCATTCGTCACTTCCTCAATAATCTTGGCTCTGATGTCTTCGCGCCAAGTTGGTGTGTCACTGTCAATGTGCCATGTAAATTGATCTCAATTGTTATTTACTGTCGAATATTGAATACGTTTTATCAGACCATCTGTCCGCTTAAGAGAGGTTGATTTTCCCATTGGGACCTCCAGAAAGGTGTCCGCGTCCGTTAAAGAGGGGTGTCCGCTTAATAGGGGTTATGATAATAGTTTTTTATTAAAGAAACCAAATGGGACCTGAGATATGTGTCCGCTTAAAAGAGGTGTCCGCTTAAGAGAGGTGTCCGCTTATAGGGGTTCGACTGTACTTAATATAGACCCATTCCACATGACGTCACAGCGCCGGTGACGATGCATCTGGAGGACAAATTAGCAATCTACGCATAATATAACTTTTGTAAACAAAGCAAATTTTGTAAAACTTTATAATAATTTTGTATTAAAATGGTTAATTTTTTCGCTGTATGTGGTTGTTGTTCCCGAACAGATATTGTTAGGTAGCATCTGGAGGACACTCTAAGGATTTGTGACGCCATGGCAATGGGTCTATTGTTACGCCGTCATCTTCCTAGCTAGTGTCATGACGTGTGCATGACGTGTACAGCTTACAGAAATTTGAGAACACGAAGTCCTATGAAGTTAGACATCTGGGGCCGGTTGTTCAAAGCTGGGTTAGCTTAACCCTAGGTTAACCTAAAATTCAAAGCAAACTTCCTGATAGCTTGTCTATATATTTGGAAGTATTTTTTCAGAGATCTTGTCTGGATCGATGGGAGTTTACTTCTCTGAAGTTTTGAGGTTCAATTTTAACCCAGGGTTAGCGCCAACCACCTTTGAACAACCCGCCCCTGATATATACTTAATCTGTGACTAGGTCTTTGCATCATGCTAAAATGAGCCCTAACAATGGGATTTTGAAACAATGAAAAGACAATGGAATTTTTCAATCACTGGATCATGACTGGACGACATGGAAAACAGTGGGATTTTCAAAACACTGAAAAGGGGCCTTCTGATCTGATCATTAGATTACGGATAACATGGAGAACAGTGAGTTTCAAAACAATGAAAAGCTATGAATGTGTCCACCATCTATAATGCACACTGAATCTTAACAATTGGTAAAAAAAAAAACTTCTTATATGTGCAGGGAAGTACAAGCACTTTTCTACCACCGATGTACGGTAGTAAAAACTCAATCTTCAATTGAATTTTGAAACTCGATCTTTCTTCGTAATTTTATTTTTCGAAATATGATTGATCGTTGTATATTCTTCAACACGCCATTAAAAATCTGTTTTAAAACGGTTATATTTTTGCTCGAAAGTGCTGTTTGAATGCAGAAGACAAAACCAATAATTTTTTCGGGGTTGGGTGAGGATTTTGGTGGAAGTCGGGTGGTGTTCTCACTCTGAAACTCAATCTTCTACAGTATTCTTCCGAAAAAACGGTGGTAGACTAAAATGCTTGTATTAATCCCTGATGTGGTAAATGATGAACACATATTCAATCTATAGATGAGATGGTCGAGATATCAGTCGCATCCTGTACACTCTTGGCAATCATCTGTATGCGGGGCTGTTTCAGGTAGTAATGTCTTGTGACTCTTGTCATGAAGCCAAATATGTAAATCCTGGGGTGATGGGGGGACGCATCCCCTTCACTTTTTGGACATTCGCAATGTAGTCTAAAAAAAAATTACGTCTGTTGCCTCAACCATGCCTCCTCCCCCACACACACACACATTGTCGCTCTTACTTAAAGCCCTGATCAAACGAAGGTGAGACTTGATGAGAGTTGGCCAACGAGAGTTTGCATGAGAGTTTTCTCAAGACTCGTGCCTTGATCAAAGAGAACAAGAGTTGCACGAGAGTTGATGAGAGTGGAATGGATATTACCACGCGCGTTGCAAAAACTGTCATCAAAATTTGAGCTTTATATTCAAAGTTGTCGAGAGTGCCTGAGAGTCGATGAGAGTTGGTGATTTCACACAAGCTGGAGTTACATCTCTCACCAACTCTCATCCTTGTTTGCTGAGGTTCAAGGCTCTCTACCACGCACTAGTAGCCAGAATATTTAATCATGCCCCGTTGGTCAATCAAAGATTAATTTATGAAACATTGTTTTCAGGTGGCTTGGCTGCTGCACTAACGACTCCCCTAGACGTTGCTAAAACTAGAGTCATGCTTGCCAAGGTATTTGTAATATTTCGCTCTTCAGCCACTATTATTAGATGAGCTGTATATACCATGGGCTTTTGATGATACAGTGTTTAGTGCATATCTCTTTCACGACCGAAGTTTGATTTGACTGTAATTTGAAGTTGTGTAGTAATTTCGTCTTGTGAGAAGAGTGGTTCAATTTCATCCTATAACACTGGATCGATAAGGTTAGACCCTACTCGATCTCTAGAGATAACAGTTTAAAACTGATAGAGCTATTATTAATATCATGCAGTGTAAATAATGTTGGTTTAGTTTAGATTTCCTCAGTGGTAGTAGCACTGGACCAGTAACGGAGGACCCTTACTACTGGACCTCTAGGGAGAACAGTTTACCTGATGGAGCTATATCTAGTGTAATTAGTATTGGTTTAGTTTAGGTTTCCTCCTGTAATAATGGTGGAATAAATCGTGGCTCTTACTGGACCTCTAGGAAGAACAGCCTTTCATAATTGATAGATTTATCCAATATTATGAAAGCTAGTTAAGTGTAAGTTGGGAATTTTTCCATTTATAGAAAGACTGTCCAACAACGAAAGTGAATCCTTTCAGAGTTCTGATACTAATTGGGAAAGACGAAGGTTTAAAAAAGTAAGTTGTGTTTAATTCGCAAAATTCATTAATTTTTCCTGCAGACTGCGCTAAATTAATTAAAATATACGTGGTTTTAGATTGTTTTCTGGTATTGTACCTCGGGTGTTGTGGATCAGTATTGGAGGTGCGATATTTCTTGGTATATATGATGAATCCAGGACACTTCTCAACCGGTCCACAGAAAGATAACATATGATAATGTAATTATTGTACGTGTTTTTTTGGGAGGGAGGGCGGGTGGGGTCAGTGACTGACGCTAAAGAGAGGCGGGGGAGGGAAGTGGTACGTAATAATTCTGCATGAAAGAAAAACTGAAGAATCTTTTGAACAATATATTTTTGTATATTTATTCAAGATTTCCATAATGAAAAAATGCTAGATTCTTATAGTTAGAATTGTACAGTGTATAATGATAGACATAGCCCATTTGTAAGAAGTTAAGATATTTTAACAATTTTTATATTTTAAATTTTATATATGTTTTGTGAACCCACAAATATCAAACATATAAAATGATTTTAAATGAGACAAACATAAGATATTTAATAGAAGATGTAAAATGCGTAACTACACTTAAATAGTAAAATGTATTTACATTTCAAAAGATTTGATAACATTAACACTTTGTAATTTTTCAATATTCTCCAGCGAGTGTTGCTATTATTCCTTAATCACTGTCGTGTTGTCGCGAATTTGGATTGGGAATGGTGTCCAGTAAACCTTCCCAGTTTTGTACAGTATCTGTGGTAGTTTTATCTGTTTCACCATGAGGCATGGTTGTTTTATCCCTTTCACCATAAAGTGTGGTAGGTGTATCTGTTTCACCATTAGGGTTTGTATTTTGACCTGGTTCACCATAAGGGTTGATAGTTTTATCTGTTTGACCAGTAGCTATGGTAGTTTTATCAGCATGAAGAGAGCTAAGTGTTTTTACCTTGCTCTCTGATGTGGTTATTTCTGTGCTGGTTTCAACTGAAGAGGCAACTTTTTCTATTTTGTCCTGAGTTGAACTGTGTCCTGGTCTTACCATGTCACCACTTTGGACATCTGCATTTGAAATATTTGGCATAATTTTTTGCTGAGGGCTAAGTGTTTTAATTTTGTTTTCAGAGTCGGCTATTTTTGTGGTGGTTTCAACTGATGATGCATTCGAATTAGTTTCTACTATGTTCTGTTCTGTTATCACTGGATCAATACTTTGGACATCCGTGATTATAGTGTTTGCTGGAGTGTTCGTACTGATACCACTAAATTTATTTTCATAGATTACATGAGTATCGGTGTTTTCTGTCAAAATAAGTGGTGTATCTGGTATGATGTTCTCTGCAGAGTAACCAACAGGTTGAAGGAGGTGGTTGCTTCTTTTCCTCTTGGGTTCTTTCGTGGTTTCCAAGAAAGCTGGATCGTTTCTCACAATGGTGTTTTCTAAACAGTTAGTTTGTATGTCAAGTATCGGTGGGGTCGGTACTAGATAGTTTGATGGCTTGAGGTCAACGTTGGTTTCACAGATTTCCCCAGGAAGCTCTGAGTTATGACTTAGGCGTATTTTTGTATTCTTGTCTCGATCACCTTTCAAAACATTTTGTTTGCAATCTGCCCTAGTATTTGCACCACGGAGCCCTGAATCGCCACTTGAATGTGTTTCTATATCTCTGTCTTGACAAGTTGCCTTCATAATTTTGCCGTCCTGTATTTGAGCTGTAATGGATCCCTTGTCTTCACTCAAATTGCCAAACGGATTTGTACTCCAAATTTCACACTGCACCGCCACCGACTTGTGGATTACTGTAGCCCCTTTACTTTCCATTGGCAGGGTTTGTATACCTTTTTCTTCCGATCTGCTCAAGGGATAGATTCTAAACACCGATAAGTTGGATCTCTTTTGATCAGGATTTCTAGCTGGTAGTTCTTTGGTTTTGGAGAGATGCTTGAGGCCGTTTGATAAGCCGAGGGTGTAGACTTGATTCTGACCGTTGTTTTGTAGCTGTTCTGACGTTGAAGTGCTTGGCAGGTCTTGTGAACTGGTGGTCTGAATTGGTTCTTTTGGGTTGGTCTGTTTAACCTAAAGAATTATAAAAGATAACCTTGGTTATATTCTGTACTGTGCGATACCTTATTGTGCCGTGGTTTGCTGTGCAATTATTTAATCTCCGCTATAATTTCTTACCTCTTTCGAATATTTTGAGGACAATTTCCCAGATTTGGTAGCTACATGTTTCTGGTTGTCTTCAATTTCTATGAAATATAAATCAAGTATTAATATACAATAATACATGAGGCAAAAATTGAAATCGCTTAACACAATACAATAATACTAGCCTATGATATACCCAATTCAAATACGAAATTGAAGGCTACATACCTGATGCACTCGAGGACCAACTGGAGTAGTATAAACTCTCTTGACTACTTTCGTATTGTTGTACTGCCATAACCTATGAAGAATGTCGTATAAAATGTTAAGTTGAACGCTCTAACTATTCAATCTAACCAGTTTCAACCAAGATATATTCCTGGAGAAATCTGCATACTACCAGAAGTAACTGTTGCCAAGTAGTTCCACCTACCTCTTTCAATTCTTCAGCTGCATTCTTTGACCGACGTGGACTACAGCTTTCTGAGGCCGAAACATTCTCCTCATTGTGATTGTTCTCATTCCGGATATCCTGAAAGATTAACCAGCAAAAAATTCAACTAATTCTATATCTCGTTTAAACCATTAACACTTTGCACTTGACGAGTAAATTCCAGGACAGGGCTAAATAGGGATCAAGAGACTAGGGGGTTATTATTGTGTTAACTATACGTCAAATGTTTTCCCTTTAACAAGTAAATTCCCCTTGATTAGTGAATCGCGTATTTGTAAAAAACCTGTTTGTCTTCCCTGACTAGCGTGTCTACGTGGGCCTGTTTTGCAACAGTAATAAAATTCCTCCGATCCTCCGATCTAGCTTCGTCGATTCCTGTATTATCTTTATTATCTACTATCTTCTCATCCATTTGTCCTACATATTGTGAAGATGAATTTTCTATCCTCAGGACATCATCAGGATTTACTTTGAAAGGTTGGTGCTTATTTTCTGGAATGATTTCTTCCAGTACATGTAAGTCTGTTAGAAATGATTGAGGATCACTTTTGTTCAGACAATCTATCGTGATTTCGTTTGTCGCCGGAGAAGGTAACGGGTAGTCATCGTTCTCCTTAAATGAAAGAAGAGTCGGTTGGAATTTTATCATTTATATTCAGTGTCTTCTTTCGAAGAATTTGTCGTCTACAGTATTTTACCTCAGTGATGATCGTGGTTGTGGTGGTGGTAATAATTGTGGTGGTGGTGATGATGGTGTGATGTTGATGATGTGTGGTGGTAATAACAGTAGTGATGATGATGATTGTGGTGTTGATGATGATGATGGTGATGATGGTGATGATGGTAGTAATGTAGATGGTAATGGTTCTGACTGGGTGAAGTGTCTTAATGTCTTAATTAACTTAACCTTAAAGACAAACATGAAGATAAATTACCATAGTTGTACTCAGTCTGATGTCGTTATTAGTCTTGTTGCTCTGGATACATCCAGCTAAGAATCTAGAAACAAAAGGTAGTAAAGAGTTTTAATTCCTTGTAACATTCCTAACCTTGTAATTTTTTATCAATTTCACTTACAATTTTTCGTGTTTAGCACTATGTGAGATTGGCTGATAAGTTTCCATTGCTTGTTCCAAGTTCTCATAATCATCGTTATAGTGATTGAATCGAGGACTGCGCTGTATCAATCTTTGTGGCGTTGAGCGGTTGTAGTCAGATTTCTGCGAGTTTGGATAACTATCCTGCTGATCGACGTATGTGATAGTTCGAGCAGCCAGTGAGTATGGAGCAGGAGCAGCGTAAGGAATAAACGGAGACTATAAAATAGTAGTGAGGTTCAAATTTGACGTCCACTACCATTTAGGGACCATTAGCCAATCAGATGCGTTTGATATATCCGATTAACCAATCAGATGTTTACTAAGCCAGTGAGAGGTAGTGGAAGTCAAATCTGAACCTCTCTATTAAAATACAGATTACAGACATTACTGAGCTCACAGCGTGTTCATAAACTTGAAAATGGTTTTCCAGGGATCTTGTCTAGATCATTTAAGGTTTTATTTTCAAAATAAAGGGAAATACCCAAACAAAACAAAACAAAACAACACGTTAAATTTAACCCAGGGAGCTTTGAACAACGGACCTTCAAGGAACTCAGCAGTTTACCCGTTCTTCAATTACACAGATTACAGACATTACTGGGTTCACAGCGTGTTCATTAACTTGAAAATGGTTTTCCAGAGATCTTGTCTAGATCATTTAAGGTTTTATTTTCAAAATAAAGGGAAATACCCAAACAAAACAACACGTTAAATTTAACCCAGGGAGCTCTGAACAACGGACTTTCAAGGAACTTAGCAGTTTACCTGTTCTTCAATATTACGATATTTAGGTGTTGGGTGTGGTTGCTTTTGTTTCTCTGGTAGACTTCGTACACTTTTCAGACATCTCTCTTTGTCTTCATGTATGGTGGAAGTAATTTGTTCGGATAAAAACAATTCTCCCTGGCGAGTGCGTTTTACATCCGCAAAATTATTCAACTCGAATGAATCGACCTTACGCTTCATGATTTGGCCTTGATCGCAGACAAATTTGGAAGGCGTGCTCCGAATTTGATAGAATGAATCACCATTTGGGGGTCTGCATTCATTCAAAGTCACATTTTCCTCAGTAGGAGAAAAATTTGTTGCGGCGTTCTGAACAAGATCGTATGAATTAGCTTCTCGTTTTGTGTTTTCAGTTTCTTTCTTCTGATGAAATGAGTACATTGCAGGAAATTTGTCTTGCTTGGAATTAAACTCAAAACCTTCAGAATACTCGGAATATTTGGTCGGTTTCTGATCATAGTCAAAAGCAGAATGCTTTGTATGTTTTTCATAGGAAGAGTCCACAGTTCTGTTTTGGTTAGTTTTTAAGCTTTCCTTACCAAGGGGGAAATCAGAAGCGGTGGTGTTGAAATCAGGTTCCGTTGAACCAACTTTCTTTGCTGTGTTTTCAATTGCCTCTTTCTGATGGAAAGGATAAGCGGGAGATTTGTCATGTTGTACTCGATCACGGGCTTCAGAGAATTCCAATGTCGAAGGTTTGGCTGAGGATGGCAAAGGTAAGTCCAAGATTTCTTCATCTTTGAATTTCGGTTGATGACGATTTGGACGATCCAGGTTGACTTTTGTCGGCTGTCGGATTTCACTATTACCTGGAAAATATTACAAAAATTAGGGATGCATGAATAAAACACGTTCTTGATTTGCCCACCTTTGAAAAACATAGCCAGGAAACAATGTTTCCTGATTTGTTCACCTTGAAGAATCATGTCTAGGAAACAATATTAATGGCTTCTGGTTTACCCACCTTCGAGAAACGTGGCTAGGAAACAATGTTTCCTGGTTTGTCCAACATGGCTGGGAAACAATGTTTTCTGGTTTGCCCACCTTTGGGAAACATGGCTAGGAAACAATGTTTCCTGGTTTGTCCACCTTCGGGAGACATGGCTATTGGCTAGGAAATAATGTTTCCTGGTTTGTCCTCCTTCGGGGAACATGATCAGGAAAACAAGCCAACGTTGAATAACATAACCAGGACTAATGATACTACGTAACAATATTTGCTAGTATTAGTAAGCGCAGGGCAGTCAGGGCTTTATTGAAAACAATACTTTTATGACGTACTTTTATATGGTTTATCATGCGTTTGCATAATGACTTGAAGTGCAAGTAAGTCTTGACTAATCGACTGATGAGTCCTTCCATTATTCGCACGGGACGCACTTGCATTTACAGAAATAGGATTAGTTATGTTTAATTTCTTCTGTAATCGTTTTCGTTCAAAAAACTCCTGAAAAAGAAATTTAAGAACATGTCAAGTTGGTTTAGAAGCTTGTTTATCTGATACAAAATCTTGCTGGTTTACATATAAAACTTTAAATTTATTTTCTCACCAAATATTATTTACATATTAAGCTATACACGCACTCGCCTTCGGCTCGTGTTTGTGTATCTTATTTTTCACAGCTTTTATGTACATAAATCAATGAAAATTCAATGCATGGTATGATGGTAAATATGCTTCTTAATTGGCAAAAAATAAAAGTAACCTTTTGAAGCTTTTTCTCCTGCTTGAGTTTAACTCTATTCCTGTTATTTAATAAAAAAGAAATGAATAAATGTAAAAAAAAATAGGCGCATATTAAATGGTTTGATAAATATTTTTGAAAACACTTCTATTGAACTTACCTAATTCCGCCTACCCAATTCATAATTGAAATAATAAAAAATATCTTTTCTTTGGAGCAGCAAAATTTTAGTACATTAATATTAAAAGTATAATTTTGCAAATGAATTTTTTTTTCAAAAAACAAAATAATTTGAAAAATTTTCCCGCCAAAGCAAAGCTCTTGTCTCGGTCTAACTTCGGAATATCTCGACGTATCTTCGGCCTTAGACAACTGACTTGAAATGTTACTGGATTGAGTATCAATTACAATATACTTTGATAGTAATTTTTTTATCAAAATAGTACCGTTTCTTTTCTAATATTTCCAAGTTTTTACGACGCTTTGAAAAGAAATGGAGATATTTTTAATTTATTGGCTATTCAGTTTCTGTTGCCATTACGTAATAGTTTTTTGCGCAATTCAGTGTACTCAAACTTTTGAGATCAGTGAGAAGAAGCGAAAATATTCAAAATGGAGTCGGAAGTGGATCAAAATTGGGCATTTGATGCTTTCAATGACGGCTCAATAAGTAAGTTTTTGCAATTATTACACGTGAAACAAATAACGCAATACACCAACTTTGTATTTTTGTTCCTGCAGAGATAGTAAGCGAAGTGCAACTTCGAAAATATGGTCAATTTTTGGAGGAATACGCATCACAACTGAAAGGTATTGAAGATGCATTGGACGAATGGATTGGAGAGTCGTGGGATTTCTCACTTGACCCGATTCAACTGCAGGTAAGGATTGATGTATTTTTGTGATGTTTCAACGATAAAGTCAGATGTATCAGTATGTTTATATTTAACTAATTACGTATTAAAATATCACCGATCACGTGACAAAATTATTCTAAAATCTCAATTACTAAAGTTGCAAACCTCGGGAGTGTTCACCAAACACTTTGGGTCAATACAATTTTTTCTTGAGTTACAGAGGTTTGAAAAATATTGCAGACATCAGCATTATTTTCACACAAACAATTTGCCGAGTCTGTGATGAATGGGAGGGGGTGTTAACCCCTCCACATCTAGCTACACCCCTGACTTTACCATTTTGTTGCAAGTTTCAAAGTCCATAATGAAGTTCACATGCAGGTCAGTAAACCACCCTGAGTGGTCCTTACACTTTTGAACATTGCAACGAATTTGTGGAGTTTCAATCAAAGTTTAACCAAAAGTAAGTGTAAGGTTATGAAGCAATCTCATATTTGACCTAGGGCCAAATAAAAATAATAGTTGGTTTCAGGTTTCACAGCCATGTTTTATATGGGTAGGTAGGTCGGAAAAGCGTTTTATTTAAAAAAATATTTTATCTCATCTGTCACACATAATCAGACGTGCCACACGGGATCAACCGCGACTACACATGTTTTGTGAGAAACAAATACATCAAGGATTAACATGACTAGATAATGATTAAATTATGAGCAAACAAAATACTTTGTAGCAAATGAGTCTGATGACTATTTATATATTCTGATATTTACGAAAAAGATGATCCCTACTGGGAAATGTCAATAAAATGTTTATGGTCGGTCATATTTTTGACAGGTCGGTCGGAAACCTGAAACCAACTATTATTTTTATTTGGCCTAGAGATGTTTAGTATACCAATACACTGAAAAATTGAAAATACCAGTATTGAATCTAATATTGGTATGTCAGCATGACTTTTTCAGTAATACCAATATTTCTGGTATACCGAAGCACCAATTGAAAGTTATAATAGAAAGTTATAATAATTTAAGCAATTGATGTTTTTGACAACACCGACATCACAACTACATAATTTGCCCATCAATTATTGTGTCAGCAGTCTGCGCTTGAAATTTTTTTGTGATGAGTTTTTCCACCAGGCGGTATGTGTCCTGTAAGATTCATCCTTGGGTAAGCTTTCTAATATTAATAAGAGGCTTCTGCCTTCACCCATTACTTATCCAATTTAAGTGCACAAAATATTTTTGTGACGACTTGACACTTGTTTCAGAGTAATATGAAACAGACACCAAACTTGTCATGTGTAAGATCCTATAATACTATGTAAATACAACAGTGTTTCAAGTTCATGAGAGCTAATCAATTTTTTAAAACAGATGAATGAAAATACTTCTCAATGTTTAAAGTGAAAGGCCTTACTGCTTACTCTTCAATCTTTGCCAATTAACCCCAAGTTTCAAAACACTTGCCATGCCTTCAATTAAGTCACTTAATGTAGCTAATTTGTATCGTTTTGAATCGTTTGTATTGTACTATATGTTGGTTTTGTAGTCTTAGACTTGTTGTTGTCGTTGTTGTTATTGTCGTTTGTCGCTTTTGCCATTGTTGTTGTTAATAACATATAACAACATCATTCAATAATCACCGCCTAATATATGTGTCATACAGAGATTATGAAGACTTTCTTGTAAATAAATATAAATATTATCTAGTTTTTCAGTATATATAACTCCTCCTAGTGTAGTATAATACTGTTTTAGGAGTATTTCATTAAAGCATTCATTAAAGCACTAATTAAGCATTCACTCTTCTAATTCTTTGCTTGAAATGTTGACAAGTATTTCATGTCTGTTGTAACTTGAGTGCATGGCTGTTAAGAAGGTGAAACACTATAATTGTTAAATCGTGGAACTGTTCCTTTGTATTGTTATGTCACTGTTTCCTCTTTTAAATCATACTTGCACAAGACTTACATCCACCTCACTAGTACTTCTTACACTCCTGACGTACCTAGCTCACACTCACTTATCACGACTCAATAAAAAATATCCTCCAGGTCTTTCATTTTAACATCTCTCTATTAGTCTTTTCATTCTCTTTGCCTTTTTATTCTAAATAAACTGTATAATATATATTATATATATTGTAACTATTTTCCAATATAATATAATATAATTAATAATATGAACAAGTCAAGTTTTAAAGCCTGGTTGATTTTGATATTCAAATAGTTAAATGCTTGTTTGCAAACTGAGGGTTTGCAAATTGCAAACTATTAAATGAAAATATATTCCAATTTTATTCAATGTAAAGACTAAAGGAGTTAAAAAATATGAATATTCCACACTGTATACATATAATCAATCCCAGATTTTATTTTCCTTGGTCATATGTCAGCACTTCCTCTGTGATAGTTGGACTATCAAACTGACTAAACAGCGAGGTGCTGGTTTGCAAGCTTGCCTGGTAAACGCATATTGAAAATCGTCTGATCTCAGCCTTATGCTTTAATTCCTTTTCATCAGAACTTATGAGTAAGAACTAAGAACACTCGTTGTTCTGGAAATAGAGAAGGACCAATCGAAACATCAAACTGAGGCAATTTCCAGACGGGTAATTCCATGTCAATTCATCCAGGGGGTAGAACCACCCCTCTTGGATTTTATTCAAATTTGGAGGAAATAACAAGCAACATGAGACATGCCAAAATCCAAAATTTCATACTTGTAGCTTAATTAGTTTCCGAGAAGTCGGACTTTGTATTTTGAGAAATTTGATAAAAATGGGTGTGGCCCGAGCAAAAATTCGCGGGTAGCGGTTCAGTAAAATAGTAATAAAATCATGGTTATTTGAGCTATTATTATAAAATTTGGGGG